TAACCCCAATAACACCATCCCAACCCAACTGATCCCCAATCCCTCCCCACTCCCATCCCAATCCCAATCCCAATCCCAATCCCCATCCCAATCCCAATCCTAACCCCACCCCCATTTCCATTCCATTTCCATCCCAATCTCATCCCATCCCCACCCCAATCCCAATCCCACCCCACCGCCATCCCACCCCATTCCCAATCCCAATCCCAATCCCTCCTCACCCCCACCCCATTCCCAATCCCAATCCCAAATCCTCACCCACCCCTATTTCCATTCCATCTTCATCCCAATCTCATCCCATCCCCAACCCCATTCCATCCTCATCCCCATACCATTCCCAATCCCAATCCCCATTCTCACCCTATCCCCACCCCAATCCCAATCCCAAATCCTCACCTCACCCCCATTCCCATTCCATCTCCATCCCAATCCCATCCCATCCCATCCCCAACCCCATTCCATCCCATCCCCACTCCAACCCCAATCCCAATCCCCATTCTCACCCCATCCCCACCCCAATCCCCAATCCCAATCCCATCCCATCCCACCCCATTCCCAATCCCAATCCCAAATCCTCACCCATCCCCATTCCATCTCCATCCCAATCCCAATCCCATCCCATCCCCAACCCCATTCCATCCCATCCCCACTCCAACTCCAATCCCAATCCCCATTCTCTCCCTATCCCCATCCCAATCCCAATTCCAATCCCAATCCCATCCACCCCAACCACACCCCCATCCCAATCCCAAATCCTAACCCCACCCCCATTCCCATTCCATCTCCATCCCAATCTCATCCCATCCCATCCCCAATCCCCATCCCATCCCCACCCCCATTCCATCCCATCCCCACTCCAACCCCAATCCCAATCCCCATTCTCACCCTATCCCCACACCAATTCCAATTCCAATCCCAATCCCATCCAACCCCAACCCCACCCCAATCCCATTCCCAAATCCTAACCCCACCCCCATTTCCATTCCATCTCATCCCAATCGCATCCCATTTCATTCCCACCCCCATCCCATCCCCAATCCCCATCCCCATTCTCACCCCACCCCCACCCCAATCCCAATCCCAAATCCTCACCCCACCCCCATTTCCATTCCATCTCCACCCCAATCTCATCCCATTCCATCCCCATCCCTACTCCAACCCCAACCCCAACCCCAATCCCCAATCCCAGCCCACCCCCACCCCATTCCAAATCCCAATCCCAAATCCTCAACCCACCCCAATTTCCATTCCATCTCCATCCCAATTCCAATCCCAATTCCAATCCCTCCCCACCCCAATCCCAATCCCAAATCCTACCCCCACCCCCATTTCCATTCCACCTCCATGCCCATCCCAATCTCATCCCATCCCAATCCCATCCCATCCCAGCCCCAACCCCATTCCATCCCATCCCCACTCCAACCCCAATCCCAATCCCCATTCTCACCCCATCCCCACCCCAATCCCAATCCCACCCCAATCCCAATCCCAAATCCTCACCCCACTCCCATTTCCATTCCATCTCATCCCAATCCCATCCCACCCCCAAACCTATCCCATCCCCAACCCCATTCTCACCCCATCCCCACTCCAATCCCAATCCCCATTCTCACCCTATTCCCATCCAATCCCAATCCCAAATCCTAATCCCACCCCCATTTCCATTCCATCTCATCCCAATCACATCCCATCCCCAATCCCCATCTCCATTCTCACCCCAACCCCATTCCATCCCCATTCCCACCCCACTCCAATCCCCATTCTCAACCCACCCCAATCCCAATCCCAATCCCTCCTCACCCCCATCCCGCCCCAATCCCAATCCCAATCCCAAATCCTCACCCCACCCCCATTTCCATTCCATCTCCATCCCAATCTCATCCCATCCCATCCCATCCCCAATCGCATCCCATCCCACCCCCATTCCCATTCCCAATCCCATCCCCACTCCAACCCCAATCCCAATCCCCATTCTCACCCTATCCCCACCCCAATCCCCAATCCCAATCCTATCCCATCCCACCCCATTCCCAATCCCAAATCCTCACCCACCCCCATTCCCATTCCATCTCATCCCAATCTCATCCCATCCCAGCCCCAACCCCATTCCATCCCATCCCCAATCCCAATCCCAATCCCAATCCCCATTCTCACCCTATTCCCATCCAATCCCAATCCCAAATCCTAATCCCACCCCCATTTCCATTCCATCTCATCCCAATCACATCCCATCCCCAATCCCCATCTCCATTCTCACCCCAACCCCATTCCATCCCCATCCCCACCCCACCCCAATCCCCATCCTCAACCCACCCCAATCCCAATCCCAATCCCTCCTCACCCCCATCCCGCCCCAATCCCAATCCCAATCCCAAATCCTCACCCCACCCCCATTTCCATTCCATCTCCATCCCAATCTCATCCCATCCCATCCCATCCCCAATCGCATCCCATCCCATCCCCAACCCCATTCCCAATCCCATCCCCACTCCAACCCCAATCCCAATCCCCATTCTCACCCTATCCCCACCCCAATCCCCAATCCCAATCCTATCCCATCCCATCCCATTCCCAATCCCAAATCCTCACCCACCCCCATTCCCATTCCATCTCATCCCAATCTCATCCCATCCCAGCCCCAACCCCATTCCATCCCATCCCCAATCCCAATCCCAATCCCCATTCTCACCCTATTCCCATCCCAATTCCAATCCCAAATCCTAATCCCACCCCCATTTCCATTCCATCTCATCCCAATCGCATCCCATCCCCAATCCCCATCCCCATTCTCACCCCAACCCCATTCCATCCCCATCCCCACCCCACCCCAATCCCCATCCCCACCCCACCCCAATCCCAATCCCAATCCCTCCTCACCCCACCCCCACCCCATTCCCACTCCCAGTCCCAAATCCTCACCCCACCCCTATTCCCGTTCCATTTCCATCCCAGTCTCATCCCATCCCATCCCCAATCCCAAATCCCATATACCATCCCCAATCCCCATTCTCACCCTATCCCTACCCCAATCCCAATCCCAATCCCATCCCACCCCAATCCCAATCCCACCCCACCCCAATCCCAATCCCAATCCCAATCCCAAATCCTCACCCCACCCCCATTTCCCTTCCATCTCCATCCCAATCCCATCCCATCCCATCCCCAACCCCATTCTCACCCCATCCCCACTCCAATCCCAATCCCAATCCCATCCCACCCCAATCCCAATCCCAAATCCTCACCCCACTCCCATTTCCATTCCATCTCATCCCAATCCCATCCCATCCCCAATCCTATCCCATCCCCAACCCCATTCTCACCCCATCCCCACTCCAACCCCAATCCTATCCCAATCCCAAATCCTCACCCCACTCCCCTTTCCATTCCTCCCCTCCCTCTCCCCATTTCCTCTCCCTCCCTCTCCCCATTTCCTCCCCCTCCCTCTCCCCATTTCCTCCCCCTCCCTCTCCCCATTTCCTCCCCCTCCGTCTCCCCATTTCCTCCTCCTCCCTCTCCCCATTGCCTCCCCCTCCCTCCCCCCATTGCCTCCCCCTCCCTCTCCCCATTGCCCCCCTCCCTCTCCCCATTGCCTCCCCCTCCGTCTCCCCATTTCCTCCCCCTCCCTCTCCCCATTTCCTCTTCTCCCCATTCCCCCCTCCCCCTCCCTCTCCATCCCTCCCTCTCCCCACTCCTCCCTTTCCCCTTATCTTCCATTTTCTCTCTCCCTCTTCCCATTCCCTCCTCCCTCTCTCCACCCCTCCCTTCCTCCTTCTTTCCATTTCCTCCCTCTCCATCTCCCCATTCCTCCCTCCCCCCATTCCCCCTTCTTTCCATTTCCTCCCTCACCCTCTCCCCATCCCCCCTCCCCCTCCCTCTCTCCATTCCCTCCTCTCCCCATCCCTTTCCTTCTCCCCCATCCCCTCATCCCTCCCCCACAAACAGCCTCTCCCTCTCTCCATCCTTAATCCTCCCCTCTCCCTCTCCCTTCCCCCCCCACACCCCTCCCCTTTCCACCCTCCTCCCTCTCCTCATTCTCCCTCCCTTCTTTCTCTAACAACTCCTCTCCTCCCCATCCCTCCCTTTCCTCATTCTCCCTTCCCTCTCCCTTTATCACTCCTCTCCTCCCACCATTTCTCCCTCTCTCCACCCCTCCCTCTCCCCTCTCCTCCCTTCCCCCTTCTTCTTTCCATTTCCTCCCTCTCCATCTCCCCATTTCTCCCTCCCCCCATTCTTCTTCTTTCCATTTCCTCCCTCTCTCCATTCCCTCCTCTCCCCATCCCTTTCCTTCTCCCCCATCCCCTCATCCCTCCCCACAAACAGCCTCTCCCTCTCTCCATCCTTAATCCTCCCCTCTTCCCCTCCCTTCCCCCCCCACACCCCACCCCTTTTCCACCCCCCTCCCTCTCCTCATTCTCCCTCCCTTCTTTCTCTACCAACTCCTCTCCTCCCCATCTCTCCCTCTCCTCATTCTCTCCTCCATCTCCCTTTATCACTCCTCTCCTCCCACCATCTCTCCCTCTCTCCTTCCCTCCCTCTCCCCACTTCTCCCTTCCCCCTTATTCTTCCATTTTCTCCCTCCCTTTCCCCATTCCCTCCTTCTTTCCATTTCCTCCCTCTCCTCATTCCTCCCTCTCCCCATTCCCCCTTCTTTCCATTTCCTCCCTCTCCCTCTCCCCATTCCCCCCTCCCTCTCTCCATCCCTCCCTCTCCCCACTCCTCCCTTTCCCTTTATCTTCCATTTTCTCTCTCCCTCTTCCCATTCCCTCCTCCCCCCATTCCCCTTCTTTCCATTTCCTCCCTCTCCCTCCCCCCATCCCTCCCTCTCCCCATCCCCCCTCCCCCTCCCTCTCTCCATTCCCTCCTCTCCCCATCCCTTTCCTTCTCCCCCATCCCCTCATCCCTCCCCCACGAACAGCCCCTCCGTCTCTCCGCCCCTCCTCCTCCCCTCCCCCTGTGCCTTCCTCACTCCCAGCCCTCCCTCTCCCTCTCCCCCCACTCACGGCACGCAGAGCGCTCAGCAGCTGGGAGTAGGAGAAGATGATGAGGGAGAGGGGGACGACGAAGCAGAAGATGAAGAGGAACCACGTGTAATACTCGCTGCGGTACTTGGTGCCCACCGTGTACCAGTCGGGGCCGCACGAGCACTGCAGGCCCTCAGGCATGTACCTGTGGGGAACAGCACCCATAGGGCACCCCGCGCTGCCCCTATGGCGACCTTACGTGTCCCTATGGCAGCCCTGTATGCCCCTATGGCGACCTAATGTGTCCCTATGGCAGCCCTGTGTGCCCCTATGGCGACCTTACGTGTCCTTATGGCAGCCCTGTGTGCCCCTATGGCGACCTTACGTGTCCCTATGGCAGCCCTGTGTGCCCCTATGGCGACCTTACGTGTCCCTATGGCATCCTTGTGTGCCCCTATGGCCACCTTATGTGTCCCTGTGGCATCCCTGTGTGTCCCTATGGTGTCCTCATGTGTCCCTATGGCATCCTCATGTGTCCCTATGATATCCTTATGTGCCCCTATGGCGTCCTCATGTGTCCCTATGGCATCCCTGTGTGCCCCTATGGCATCCTCATGTGTCCCTATGGTGTGCTTACGTGTCCCTATGGCATCCCTGTGTGCCCCTATGGCGTTCTCATGTGTCCCTATGGCTCCTCATGTGTCCCCATGGCATCCCTGTGTGCCCCTATGGCTCCTCATGTGTCCCTATGGTGTCCCTATGGTGTGCTTACGTGTCCCTATGGCATCCCTGTGTGCCCCTATGGCGTTCTCATGTGTCCCTATGGCTCCTCATGTGTCCCTATGCCATCCCTGTGTGCCCCTATGGCGTCCTCATGTGTCCCTATGGTGTCCCTATGGTGTCCTCATGTGTCCCCATGGCTCCTCATGTGTCCCTATGGCGTCCTCATGTGTCCCTATGGTGTCCTCAAGTGTCCCTATGGCAGCCCTGTGTGCCCCTATGGTTCCTCATGTGTCCCTATGATATCCTTACGTGTCCCTATGGTGTCCTCATGTGTCCCTATGGCAACCTTATGTCCCTATGGCATCCCAGTGTGCCCCTATGGCGTTCTCATGCGTCCCTATGGCTCCTCATGTGTCCCTATGGCATCCCTGTGTGCCCCTATGGCTCCTCATGTGTCCCGATGGTGTCCCTATGGCAGCCCTGTGTGCCCCTATGGCGACCTTACGTGTCCCTATGGTGTCCTCATGTGTCCCTATGGCTCCTCATGTGTCTCTATGGTGTCCCTATGGTGTCCCTATGTGTCCCTATGGCAGCCCTGTGTGCCCCTATGGTTCCTCATGTGCCCCTATGGCGTCCTCATGTGTCCCTATGGTGTCCTCAAGTGTCCCTATGGCAGCCCTGTGTGCCCCTATGGTTCCTCATGTGCCCCTATGGCGTCCTCATGTGTCCCTATGGTGTCCTCAAGTGTCCCTATGGCAGCCCTGTGTGCCCCTATGGTTCCTCATGTGTCCCTATGGTTCCTCATGTGTCCCTATGGTGTCCTCATGTGCCCCTATGGCTCCTCATGTGTCCCCATGGCTCCTCATGTGTCCCTATGGTGTCCTCATGTGTCCCCATGGCTCCTCATGTGTCCCTATGGCTCCTCATGTGCCCCTATGGCTCCTCATGTGTCCCTATGTGTCCTCATGTGTCCCCATGGTGTCCTCATGTGTCCCCATGGCTCCTCATGTGTCCCCATGGCTCCTCATGTGTCCCTATGGTGTCCTCATGTGCCCCTATGGCTCCTCATGTGTCCCCATGGCTCCTCATGTGTCCCTATGGTGTCCTCATGTGTCCCCATGGCTCCTCATGTGTCCCTATGGCTCCTCATGTGCCCCTATGGCTCCTCATGTGTCCCTATGTGTCCTCATGTGTCCCCATGGTGTCCTCATGTGTCCCCATGGCTCCTCATGTGTCCCCATGGCTCCTCATGTGTCCCTATGGTGTCCTCATGTGTCCCCATGGCTCCTCATGTGTCCCTATGGCTCCTCATGTGCCCCTATGGCTCCTCATGTGTCTCTATGGTGTCCCCATGGTGTCCTCATGTGTCCCCATGGCTCCTCATGTGTCCCCATGGCTCCTCATGTGTCCCTATGTGTCCTCATGTGTCCCTATGGTGTCCTCATGTGCCCCTATGGCTCCTCATGTGTCCCCATGGCTCCTCATGTGTCCCTATGGTGTCCTCATGTGCCCCTATGGCTCCTCATGTGTCCCCATGGCTCCTCATGTGTCCCTATGGCATCCCTGGGTGCCCCTATGGCATCCTCATGTGTCCCTATGGTGTCCTCATGTGTCCCCATGGCTCCTCATGTGTCCCCATGGCTCCTCATGTGTCCCCATGGCTCCTCATGTGTCCCTATGGCTCCTCATGTGTCCCCATGGCTCCTCATGTGTCCCTATGGTGTCCTCATGTGTCCCCATGGCTCCTCATGTGTCCCTATGGCTCCTCATGTGCCCCTATGGCTCCTCATGTGTCCCTATGTGTCCTCATGTGTCCCCATGGTGTCCTCATGTGTCCCCATGGCTCCTCATGTGTCCCCATGGCTCCTCATGTGTCCCTATGGCTCCTCATGTGTCCCCATGGCTCCTCATGTGTCCCTATGGCTCCTCATGTGTCCCTATGGTGTCCTCATGTGTCCCTATGGCTCCTCATGTGTCCCTATGGCTCCTCATGTGTCCCCATGGCTCCTCATGTGTCCCCATGGCTCCTCATGTGTCCCTATGGCTCCTCATGTGTCCCTATGGCTCCTCATGTGTCCCCATGGCTCCTCATGTGTCCCTATGGCTTCTCATGTGTCCCCATGGCTCCTCATGTGTCCCTATGGCTCCTCATGTGTCCCCATGGCTCCTCATGTGTCCCTATGGCTCCTCATGTGTCCCTATGGTCTCCTCATGTGTCCCTATGGCTCCTCATGTGTCCCTATGGTGTCCTCATGTGTCCCTATGGCTCCTCATGTGTCCCTATGGCTCCTCATGTGTCCCTATGACCCCTGTGCCACCCATGTAACACCCCAATGCTGTCCCTATGCTGTCCCTGTGTCACCTCTATGGCATCCTTATGGTGTCCCTTTGTCATCCCCATGGTGACCCTATGGCATTCCTATGTCACCCCTATGCTGCCTCTATGTCACCCCTATGGAACCCCAGGATGTCCCCATGTCCCCCCTACAGCATCCCTATAGCACCTCTATGGCACTTCAATTGTGTCCCTATGGTGTCCCTATGGTGTCCCTATGGTGTCCCTCTGGGGTCCCCATGTCACCCCTGTGGTGGCCTTTGTCACCCCAAGAGAGTGATGGAACACTTTGACACCACAATATGACCCCAATGTGACCCTGATGTGACCCCAATGTCACCCCAATGTCACTGCAATGTCACCCTGATGTGACCCCAATGACACCTCAATGTGACCCCAATGTGACCCCAATATCACTGCAATGTGACCCTGATGTGACCCCAATGTCACCCTGATGTGACCCCAATGACACCTCAATGTGACCCCAATGTGACCCCAATGTCACTGCAATGTCACCCTGATGTGACCCCAATGACACCACAATGTGACCCCAATGACACCTCAGTGTGACCCCAAAATGACCCCAATGTCACTGCAATGTCACCCTGATGTGACCCCAATGACACCTCAGTGTGACCCCAATGTCACCACAATGTGACCCCAATGACACCTCAATGTGACCCCAATGTGACCCCAATGTCACTGCAATGTCACCCTGATGTGACCCCAATGACACCACAATGTGACCCCAATGACACCCCAATGTGACCCCAATGTCACCTCAATGCGACCCTGATGTGACCCTGATGTGACCCCAATGACACCCCAATGTGACCCCAATGTCACCTCAATGCGACCCTGATGTGACCCCAATGTCACCTCAATGCGACCCTGATGTGACCCCAATGTCACCTCAGTGTGACCCCGATGTGACCCCAATGACACCCCAATGTGACCCTGATGTGACCCCAAGGACACCATCATGTGACCCCAATGTCACCTCAATGCGACCCTGATGTGACCCCAATGACACCACAATGTGACCCCAAAATGACTCCCACGTGACCCTGATGTGACCCCAGTGTCACCGCAACGTCACCCCAATGTGACCCCAATGTGAGCACAGTGTCACAACGGTGTGACCCCAACGTCCCCACAACGTGATCACAGCATGATCCCAAAGTCACCACAGCGTCACCACGGTGTGACCCCAACGTGACCCCACTGTGACCCCGCTGTCACTTCAATGTGACCCCAACGTGACCCCACTGTGACCTCAATGTGACCCCGATGTCACTTCAATGTGACCCCTGTGTGACCCCAATGTGACCTCGATGTGACCCCGATGTCACTTAATGTGACCCCAATGTGACCCTGATGTCACTTAATGTGACCCCAATGTGACCTCAATGTGACTCCGATGTCACTTCAATGTGGACCGCAATGTGACCCCGACCTCAATGTGACCCCAATGTGACCCTGATGTCATTTCAATGTGACCCCTGTGTGACCCCAATGTGACCTCGATGTGACCCCGATGTCACTACAATGTGGACCCCAATGTGACCCCGATGTCACTTCAATGTGGATCCCAATGTGACCTTGACGTGACCCCGATGTCACTTCAATGTGACCCCAATGTGACCTCGATGTGACTCCGATGTCACTTATTGTGACCCCGATGTCACTTCAATGTGACCCCAATGTGACCTCGATGTGACCCCGATGTCACTTCAATGTGGACCCCAATGTGACCTCGATGTCACTTCAATGTGACCCCAATGTGACCTCGATGTGACCCCGATGTCACTTAATGTGACCCCAATGTGACCCCGATGTCACTTCAATGTGGACCCGAATGTGACCTTGACGTGACCCCGATGTCACTTAATGTGACCCCGATGTGACCTCGATGTGACCCCGATGTCACTTAATGTGACCCCAATGTGACCTCAATGTGACCCTGATGTCACTTAATGTGACCCCAATGTGACCCCGATGTCACTTCAATGTGGACCCCAATGTGACCCCGATGTCACTTCAATGTGACCCCAATGTGACCTCGATGTGACCCCGATGTCACTTCAATGTGACCCCGATGTCACTTCAATGTGACCCCAATGTGACTTCGATGTGACCCTGATGTCACTTAATGTGACCCCAATGTGACCCCGATGTCACTTCAATGTGGACCCCAATGTGACCTCGATGTGACCCTGATGTCACTTAATGTGACCCCAATGTGACCCCGATGTGACCTCGATGTGACCCTGATGTCACTTAATGTGACCCCAATGTGGCCCCAATGTGACCCCGATGTGACCCTGATGTCACTTAATGTGACCCCAATGTGACCCCAATGTGACCCCGATGTGACCCCAACGTGACCCTGATGTCACTTAATGTGACCCCAATGTGGCCCCAATGTGACCCCGATGTGACCCCGGTGTCACTTAATGTGACCCCAATGTGACCCTGATGTCACTTAATGTGACCCCAATGTGACCTCGATGTGACCCTGATGTCACTTAATGTGACCCCGATGTGACCCCGATGTGACCCCGATGTCACTTAATGTGACCCCCATGTCATTTCAGTGTGGCCCCAATGTGGCCCCCACCCATTTCCCCCACTGCCCCTATTACTCCCCAATCCCCCCATAGCCCCCCACAGCCCCCCAGTCTCCCCCAGCGCCCCCCACAGCCCCCCATCTCCCCCATTACCCCCCAATTTCCCCCATTACTCCCCATAACCCCCCGGTCTCCCCTCCAGTCCCCCCCAGTCTTCCCCACTACCCCCCCTGACCCCCCCATAACCCCCCAGAAACCCCATAACGCCCCATCATCCCCATATACCCCCCCCGCAGCCCCCCATAATCACCCCCCAATCCCTCCCAGTAGCCCCCACCAGCACCCTATAGCACCCCTATACCCCAACCCCCCCTAAAGCCCCCCACAGCCCCCCATAACATCCCCATCACCTCCCCATAACCCTCCATAAACCCCCCCCCCCCGTCCCCCCCTCATAAGCCCACACAGGGCTCCTACAGCCCCCCTAATCACCCCTGACCCCCCCAAAACACCCCCATAATCCTCCCCCACCCCACAACCTCCCCCATAACCCCCCATAAGCCCCCTACAAGCCCCAATCTCCCCCTTAACACCCCATAACCCCCCCATAACACCCTCCAACCTCCCCTATAACTCCCCATAACCCCCCATAAGCCCCCTACAACCCCCAATCTCCCCCCTGACACCCCATAACCCCCCATAACCCCCCCAAATCTCCCCCATAACCCCCCCAAATCTCCCCCATAACTCCCCATACCCCCATAAGCCCCCTACAACCCCCCAATCTCCCCCCTGACACCCCATAACCCCCCATAACCCCCCCAAACCTCCCCCATAACCCCCCAAAACCCCCCATAAGCCCCCTACAACCCCCCAATCTCCCCCTAGACACCCCATAACCCCCCATAACACCCCCCAACCTCCCCTATAAATCCCCATAGCCCCCATAAGCCCCCTACAACCCCCCAATCTCCCCCCTGACACCCCATAACCCCCCATAACACCCCCCAACCTCCCCCACAACTCCCCATAGCCCCCATAAGCCCCCTACAACCCCCAATCTCCCCCCTGACACCCCATAACCCCCCATAACCCCCTCCAATTTCCCCCATAACCCCCCATAGCCCCATAAGCCCCCTAAAATCCCCCAATCTCCCCCCTGACACCCCATAACTCCCCATAACACCCCCCAACCTCCCCCATAACCCCCCCATAAGCCCCCTACAACCCCCAATCTCCCCCTTAACACCCCATAACCCCCCCATAACACCCCCCAACCTCCCCTATAACTCCCCATAGCCCCCATAAGCCCCCTACAACCCCCAATCTCCCCCTGACACCCCATAACCCCCCATAACAACCTCACACCCCCCAATCTCCCCCATAACCCCACATAACCCCCCAAAGCCCCCTACAAGCCCCCAATCTCCCCCATAACCCCCCATAACACCCCATAACCTCCCCCATAACCAACCATAGCCCCCATAAGCCCCCTACAACCCCCAATCTCCCCCCTGACACCCCATAACCCCCCATAACACCCTCTAATTTCCCCCATAACCCCCCATGGCCCCCATAAGCCCCCTACAACCCCCAATCTCCCCCTAAACACCCCATAACCCCCCATAACACCCCATAACACCCCCACACCCCCCAATTTCCCCTATAACCCCCCATAGCCCCATAAGCCCCCTACAACCCCCAATCTCCCCCTAAACACCCCATAACACCCCATAACACCCCATAACACCCCCCAACCTCCCCCATAACCCCCCCATAAGCCCCCTACAACCCCCAATCTCCCCCTTAACACCCCATAACCCCCCCATAACACCCCCCAACCTCCCCTATAACTCCCCATAGCCCCCGTAAGCCCCCTACAACCCCCAATCTCCCCCTGACACCCCATAACCCCCCATAACACCCCCCAATTTCCCCCATAACCCCCCCATAGCCCCATAAGCCCCCTACAACCCCCAATCTCCCCCATAATATCCCATAACACCCCATAACACCCCCCAACCTCCCCCATAACTCCCCATAGCCCCCATAAGCCCCCTACAACCCCCCAATCTCCCCCGACACCCCTTAACCCCCCATAACACCCCCTAATTTCCCCCATAACCCCCCCATAGCCCCATAAGCCCCCTACAACCCCCAATCTCCCCCATAATATCCCATAACACCCCATAACACCCCCCAACCTCCCCCATAACCCCCCATAAGCCCCCTACAACCCCCAATCTCCCCCTTAACACCCCATAACCCCCCCATAACACCCCCCAACCTCCCCTATAACTCCCCATAGCCCCCATAAGCCCCCTACAACCCCCAATCTCCCCCTGACACCCCATAACCCCCCATAACACCCCCACACCCCCCAATTTCCCCTATAACCCCCCATAGCCCCATAAGCCCCCTACAACCCCCAATCTCCCCCTAAACACCCCATAACACCCCATAACACCCCATAACACCCCCCAATCTCCCCCATAACCCCCCATAAGCCCCCTACAACCCCCAATCTCCTCCTTAACACCCCATAACCCCCCCCATAACACCCCCACACCCCCCAATTTCCCCTATAACCCCCCATACCCCCCATAAGCCCCCTACAACCCCCCAATCTCCCCCATAACCCCATAACCCCCCATAACACCCCCCAACCTCCCCTATAACTCCCCATAGCCCCCATAAGCCCCCTACAACCCCCAATCTCCCCCCTGACTCCCCATAACCCCCCATAACCCCCTCCAATTTCCCCCATAACCCCCCATAGCCCCCATAAGCCCCCTACACCTCCCAATCTCCCCCCTGACACCCCATAACCCCCCATAACACCCCCCAACCTCCCCCATAACCCCCCATAAGCCCCCTACAACCCCCAATCTCCCCCTTAACACCCCATAACCCCCCCATAACACCCCCCAACCTCCCCTATAACTCCCCATAGCCCCCATAAGCCCCCTACAACCCCCAATCTCCCCCTGACACCCCATAACCCCCCATAACAACCTCACACCCCCCAATCTCCCCCATAACCCCCCATAACACCCCATAACCTCCCCCATAACCAACCATAGCCCCCATAAGCCCCCTACAACCCCCAATCTCCCCCTACACCCCATAACACCCCCAGACCCCCCAATTTCCCCTATAACCCCCCATAGCCCCATAAGCCCCCTACAACCCCCCAATCTTCCCCTGACACCCCACAATCCCCCCTAAGACCCCCATAATCCCCCCCACCCCTCTTATCTCCCCCCTAGCCCCCCATGACCCCCCAAACTCCCCCATAACCCCATAATCCCCCCCCAAACTCCCCAATCTCCCCCATAACCCCCCCAGCACCCCCACAATCCCCCCAATCTTCCCCATAACCCCCCCAGCAGCCCCATCAGGCCCCATAGCCGCCCTATATCCCCCCATAGCGCCCTGTATCCCCCCATAGCCGCCCTATATCCCCCATAGCGCCCTATATCCCCCCATAGCCGCCCTATATCCCCCCATAGCGCCCTATATCAGGCCCCATAGCCGCCCTATATCCCCCCATAGCGCCCTATATTACCCCATAGCGCCCTATATCAGGCCCCATAGCGCCCTATATCCCCCCATAGCGCCCTATATCAGGCCCCATAGCCACCCTATATCCCCCCATAGCCGCCCTATATCCCCCCATAGCGCCCTATATCCCCCCATAGCCGCCCTATATCCCCCCATAGCGCCCTATATCTCCCCATAGCCGCCCTATATCCCCCCCATAGCGCCCTATATCCCCCCATAGCGCCCTATATCCCCCCATAGCGCCCTATATCAGGCCCCATAGCCGCCCTATATCCCCCATAGCGCCCTATATCAGGCCCCATAGCCGCCCTATATCCCCCCATAGCGCCCTATATCAGGCCCCATAGCGCCCTATATCCCCCCATAGCGCCCTATATCAGGCCCCATAGCCGCCCTATATCCCCCCATAGCCGCCCTATATCCCCCCATAGCGCCCTATATCAGGCCCCATAGCCGCCCTATATCCCCCCATAGCGCCCTATATCAGGCCCCATAGCCGCCCTATATCCCCCCATAGCCGCCCTATATCCCCCCATAGCGCCCTATATCCCCCCATAGCGCCCTATATCCCCCCATAGCCGCCCTATGTCCCCCCATAGCGCCCTATATCCCCCCCATAGCCGCCCTATATCCCCCCATAGCACCCTATATCCCCCCATAGCCGCTCTATATCCCCCCATAGCGCCCTATATCCCCCCATAGCGCCCTTTATCCCCCCCATAGCGCCCTATATCAGGCCCCATAGCCACCCTATATCCCCCATAGCGCCCTATATCAGGCCCCATAGCCGCCCTATATCCCCCCATAGCGCCCTATATCCCCTCCATAGCGCCCTATATCCCCCCATAGCCGCCCTATATCCCCCCATAGCGCCCTATATCCACCCATAGCCGCCCTATATCCCCCCATAGCGCCCTATATCCCCCCCATAGCCGCCCTATATCCCCCCATAGAGCCCTATATCCCCCCATAGCCGCCCTATATCCCCCCATAGCGCCCTATATCCCCCCCATAGCGCCCTATATCCCCCCATAGCTGCCCTATATCCCCCCATAGCCGCCCTATATCCCCCCATAGCCGCCCTATATCCCCCCCATAGCGCCCTATATCCCCCCATAGCCGCCCTATATCCCCCCATAGCGCCCTATATCCCCCCATAGCCGCCCTATATCCCCCCATAGCGCCCTATATCCCCCCATAGCCGCTCTATATCCCCCCATAGCGCCCTATATCAGGCCCCATAGCCGCCCTATATCCCCCCCATAGCGCCCTATATCCCCCCCATAGCCGCCCTATATCCCCCCCATAGCGCCCTATATCCCCCCCACAGCCGCCCTATATCCCCCCATAGCACACTATATCCCCCCCATAGCGCCCTATATCCCCCCATAGCGCCCTATATCCCCCCACAGCCGCCCTATATCCCCCCATAGCGCCCTATATCCCCCCATAGCCGCCCTATATCCCCCCATAGCGCCCTATATCCCCCCATAGCGCCCTATATCAGGCCCCACAGCCGCCCTATATCCCCCCATAGCGCCCTATATCCCCCCATAGCGCCCTATATCCCCCCACAGCCGCCCTATATCCCCCCATAGCGCCCTATATCCCCCCATAGCCGCCCTATATCCCCCCATAGCGCCCTATATCCCCCCATAGCGCCCTATATCAGGCCCCACAGCCGCCCTATATCCCCCCATAGCGCCCTATATCCCCCCATAGCGCCCCCCCCGACACCCACCGGCTCCACCCGAAGAAGGGCGGCAGGCCGACCCCGACCCCGATGAGCCACGTGGCGACGACCACGAGCAGGGCATGCCGGGAGCTGAAGCGGAAATTGCCGAAGGGTTTGCAGATGACGATGTAGCGCTCGAAGGCCAGGAAGGCGAGGGACCAGCCGGTCACCAGCCCTGCGGGACAGACAGACGGACAGCCGTGTGTCACCTGCCCTGCGGGACAGACAGACGGACAGCCGTGTGTCACCTGCCCTATGGGACCCATAAGTGTCACCTGCCCTATAGGAATGATGGACAGATGGACAGGCGTGTGTCACCTGCCCTATAGGAATGACAGACAGACAGACAGACAGGAGTGTGTCACCTGCCCTATGGGACCCACACGTGTCACCTGCCCTGCAGGAACAACGGACAGACAGACAGACGTGTGTCACCTGACCTATAGGAATGACCTGCCCTATGGGACTCACAAATGTCACCTGTCCTATGGCAATGACAGACAGACAGACAGGCGTGTGTCATCTGCCCTATGGGAATGATGGACAGACAGACAGGCGTGTGTCACCTGCCCTATAGGAATGACGGACAGACAGACAGGAGTGTGTCACCTGCCCTATAGGAATGATGGACAGACGGACAGGCGTGTGTCACCTGCCCTATGGGAATGATGGACAGACAGACAGGCGTGTGTCACCTGCCCTATGGGAACAAAGGACAGACAGACGTGCGCCACCTACAGGAATGACAGACAGACAGACGTATGTCACGTGCACTGTGGGACCCACACATGTCACCTGCCCTATGGGGATAACAGACAGACAGACAGGCGTGTGACACCTGTGCTATGGGACCGACGGACAGACAGACGTGTGTCACCTGACCTACAGGAATGACCTCCCCTATGGGACTCACAAATGTCACCTGCTCTATGGCAATGACAGACAGACAGACACATGTGTCACCTGCCCTACGGGACCCACACGTGTCACCTGCCCTATGGGGACAATGGACAGACAGACGTGTGACACCTGCCCTATGGGACTGACGGACAGACATAATCCTCCCACACCCCCCAATCTCCCCCATATGCCCTATGGGAATGACAGACAGACAGACAGACATGTGTCACCTGCCCTATGGAACTCACACACGTCACCTGCCCTATAGGAATGACAGACAGACAGACAGACGTGTGTCACCTGCCCTATGGAACTCACACACGTCACCTGCCCTATAGGAATGACAGACAGACAGACAGACATGTGTCACCTGCCCTATGGAACTCACACACGTCACCTGCCCTATAGGAATGACAGACAGACAGACAGACGTGTGTCACCTGCCCTATGGAACTCACACACGTCACCTGCCCTATAGGAATGACAGACAGACAGACAGACATGTGTCACCTGCCCTATGGAACCCACACATGTCACCTGCCCTATAGGAATGACAGACAGACAGACAGACATGTGTCACCTGCCCTATGGAACCCACACACGTCACCTGCCCTATAGGAATGACAGACAGACAGACAGATGTGTGTCACCTGGCCTGTGGGACCCACACGTGTCACCTGCCCTATGGGGACAACAGACAGACAGACAGACAGATGTGTCTGTCACCACTCAACCATCTCTATGAGGTCAACAACCCTATGGGAGGAAGCCCATGAGGATGACCAACCCCACGCTGACCCTACAGACCCTACAGCCCCCCACCCACCCCATAGCCCCCCCGTACCCCCACCAACCCCATGGGGTCAACCAACACCCATCCAACCCTATGGGGTCAACGCTATGGGCTCTACTACCACCCAACCAACACTATGGGGTCAACGCTATGGGGTCAACCACCACCCATCCATCCCTATGGGGTCAACCACTACCAACCCTATGGTGTCAACTCTATGGGGTCAATCAACTCTATGGGGTCAATCAACTCTATGGGGTCAATCAACCACCACTCAACCATCTCTATGAGGTCAACAACCCAACAGGAGGAAGCCCATGAGAATGACCAACCCCACGCTGACCCTACAGACCCTACAGCCCCCCACCCACCCCATAGCCCCCCGTACCCCCAGTGGTGCCGACGAAGGCCTCCAGCTCGCAGACTCTCTTCCCAAAGATGAAGAAGCTCTGGGTTCTACCCCACACCAACCCCGTGGGCTCTACTACCACCCATCCAACCCTATGGGGTCAAGCACTACCAACCCTATGGGATCAATGCTATGGGGTCAACTCTATGGGGTCAATCAACTCTATGGGGTCAACCAACCCTATGGGGTCAACCACCAACCAACCCAACCAGAAAAACCCTATGGGAGGAAGCCCATGAGAATGACCAACCTCTCTGGCCCTACAGACCCTACAGCCCCCCACCCACCCCATAGCCCCCCCGTACCCCCGGTGGTGCCCACGAAGGCCTCCAGCTCGCAGACCCTCTTCCCAAACACAAAGTATCCATGGGCTCTGCCCCACACCAACCCCGTGGGGTCAACCACCACCCATCCAACCCTATGGGATCAACGCTTTGGGGTCTACTACCACCCAATCAACCCTATGGGGTCAACCACTACCAACCCTATGGGATCAACGCTATGGGATCAACCACCACTCAACCAACCCTATGGGGTCAACCACCAACCAACCCAACCAGAACAACCCAACGGGAGGAAGCCCATGAGAATGACCAACCCCACACTGACCCTACAGACCCTACAGCCCCCCACCCACCCCATAGCCCCCCCGTACCCCTGGTGGTGCCGACGAAGGCCTCCAGCTCGCAGACCCTCTTCCCAAACACAAAGTATCCATGGGCTCTGCCCCACACCAACCCTATGGGGTCAACCACCACCCATCCAACCCCATGGGGTCAACCACCACCCATCCAACCCTATGGGGTCAATGCTATGGGCTCTAATACCACCCAACCAACCCTATGGGGTCAAGTACCACCCATCCAACCCTATGGGGTCAACGCTATGGGGTCTACTACCACCCATCCAACCCTATGGGGTCAACCACCACCCATCCATCCCTATGGGGTCAACCACTACCAACCCTATGGTGTCAACTCTATGGGGTCAACTCTATGGGGTCAATCAACTCTATGGGGTCAATCAACCACCACTCAACCAACTCAATGAGGTCAACAACCCAACGGGAGGAAGCCCACGAGAATGTCCAACCCCACGCTGACTGTACAGACCCTACAGCCCCCCACCCACCCCATAGCCCCCCCGTACCCCCGGTGGTGCCGACGAAGGCCTCCAGCTCGCAGACCCTCTTCCCAAAGACAAAGTAGCTGTAGGCCCTCCCCACACCAACCCCATGGGGTCAACCACCACCCATCCAACCCTATGGGATCAACATTATGGGCTCTACTACCACCCAACCAACCCTATGGGGTCAACCACTACCAACCCTATGGGATCAACGCTATGGGCTCTACTACCACCCATCCAACCCTATGGGGCCAATTCTATGGGATCAACCACCACTCAACCATCTCTATGAGGTCAACCACCAACCAACCCAACTGGAACAACCCTATGGGAGGAAGCCCATGAGGATGACCAACCCCACGCTGATCCTACAGACCCTACAGCCCCCCACCCACCCCATAGCCCCCCCATACCCCCGGTGGTGCTGACGAAGGCCTCCAGCTCGCAGACCCTCTTCCCAAAGACGAAGAAGCTCTGGGCTCTGCCCCACACCAACCCCATGGGGTCAACCACCACCATCCAACCCTATGGGGTCAACCACCACCCATCCATCCCTATGGGGTCAACCACTACCAACCCTATGGTGTCAACTCTATGGGGTCAACTCTATGGGGTCAATCAACTCTATGGGGTCAATCAACCACCACTCAACCATCTCTGTGAGGTCACCCACCCAATGGGAGGAAGCCCATGAGAATGACCAACCCCACGCTGACCCTACAGACCCTACAGCCCCCCACCCACCCCATAGCCCCCCCATACCCCCGGTGGTGCTGACGAAGGCCTCCAGCTCGCAGACCCTCTTCCCAAACACAAAGTAGCTCTGGGCTTTGCCCCACACCAACCCCATGGGGTCAACCACCACCCATCCAACCCCATGGGGTCAACCACCACCCATCCATCCTATGGGGTCAACCACTACCAACCCTATGGGGTCAAACACTACCAACCCTATGGGATCAATGCTATGGGCTCTAATACCACCCATCCAACCCTACGGGGTCAACCACCACCTATCCAACCCTATGGGGTAAACCACCACCTATCCAACCCTATGGGGTCAACCACCACCCATCCAACCCTATGGGATCAACGCTTTGGGGTCTACTACCACCCAATCAACCCTATGGGGTCAACCACTACCAACCCTATGGGATCAACGCTATGGGGTCAACTCTATGGGATCAACTCTATGGGATCAACCACCACTCAACCAAACCTATGGGATCAACGCTATGGGCTCTACTACCACCCATCCAACCCTATGGGGCCAACGCTATGGGATCAACCAGCACTCAACCAACTCGATGAGGTCAACCACCAACCAACCCAACTGGAACAACCCTATGGGAGGAAGCCCATGAGGATGACCAACCTCTCTGGCCATACAGACCCTACAGCCCCCCACCCACCCCATAGCCCCCCCGTACCCCCGGTGGTGCCCACGAAGGCCTCCAGCTCACAGACCCTCTTCCCAAAGACGAAGAAGCTCTGGGCTCTGCCCCACACCAACCCCATGGGGTCAACCACCACCCATCCAACCCTATGGGATCAACGTTATGGGGTCTACTACCACCCATCCAACCCTATGGGGTCAACCACCACCCATCCAACCCTATGGGGTCAATGCTATGGGATCAACCACCACTCAACCAACTCGATGAGGTCAACAACCCAACGGGAGGAAGCCCACGAGAATGACCAACCCTACGCTGACCCTACAGACCCTACAGCCCCCCACCCCACCCCATAGCCCCCCCGTACCCCCGGTGGTGCCGACGAAGGCCTCCAGCTCGCAGACCCTCTTCCCAAAGACGAAGAAGCTCTGGGTTCTACCCCACACCAACCCCGTGGGGTCAACCACCACCTATCCAACCCTATGGGGTCAACCACCACCCATCCAACCCTATGGGATCAACGCTTTGGGGTCTACTACCACCCAATCAACCCTATGGGGTCAACCACTACCAACCCTATGGGATCAACGCTATGGGGTCAACTCTATGGGATCAACTCTATGGGATCAACCACCACTCAACCAACCCTATGGGGTCAATCAACCACCACCCATCCAACTCTATGGGATCAAAGCTATGGGGTCAACCACCACCCATCCATCCCTATGGGGTCAACCACTACCATCCCTATGGGATCAACGCTATGGGCTCTACTACCACCCATCCAACCCTATGGGGTCAACCACTACCAACCCTATGGGATCAACGCTATGGGGTCAACTCTATGGGGTCAAATCTATGGGGTCAATCAACCACCACTCAACCAACTCGATGAGGTCAACAACCCTATGGGAGGAAGCCCATGAGAATGACCAACCCCACACTGACCCTACAGACCCTACAGCCCCCCACCCACCCCATAGCCCCCCCGTACCCCCGGTGGTGCCGACGAAGGCCTCCAGCTCGCAGACCCTCTTCCCAAAGACAAAGTAGCTGTAGGCCCTCCCCACACCAACCCCATGGGGTCAACCAACACCCATCCATCCTACGGGATCAACCAACACCCATCCAACCCTATGGGGTCAACCACCACCCATCCAACCCTATGGGATCAATGTTATGGGGTCTACTACCACCCATCCAACCCTATGGGGTCAAGTACCACCCATCCAACCCTATGGGATCAACGTTATGGGCTCTACTACCACCCATCCAACCCTATGGGGTCAATGCTATGGGATCAACCACCACTTAACCAACTCGATGAGGTCACCCACCCAATGGGAGGAAGCCCATGAGAATGACCAACCTCTCTGGCCATACAGACCCTACAGCCCCCCACCCCACCCCATAGCCCCCCCGTACCCCTGGTGGTGCCGACGAAGGCCTCCAGCTCGCAGACCCTCTTCCCAAAGACAAAGTAGCTGCGGGCTTTGCCCCACACCAACCCTATGGGGTCAACCACCACCCATCCAACCCTATGGGGTCAACCACTACCAACCCTATGGGGTCAACCACTACCAACCCTATGGGGTCAACCACTACCAACCCTATGGGATCAACCACTACCATCCCTATGGGATCAACGCTATGGGCTCTACTACCACCCATCCAACCCTATGGGGTCAACCACCACCCATCCAACCCTATGGGGTCAACCACTACCAACCCTATGGTGTCAACTCTATGGGGTCAACTCTATGGGGTCAATCAACTCTATGGGGTCAATCAACCACCACTCAACCATCTCTATGAGGTCAACCACCAACCAACCCAACTGGAACAACCCTATGGGAGGAAGCCCATGAGGATGACCAACCTCTCTGGCCATACAGACCCTACAGCCCCCCACCCACCCCATAGCCCCCCCGTACCCCCGGTGGTGCCCACGAAGGCCTCCAGCTCGCAGACCCTCTTCCCAAACACAAAGTAGCTCTGGGCTCTGCCCCACACCAACCCCATGGGGTCAACCACCACCCATCCAACCCTATGGGGTCAACCACTACCAACCCTATGGGAGCAACCCCATGGGATCAACTCTATGGGGCCAACTCTATGGGATCAACCACCACTCAACCATCTCTATGAGGTCAACCACCAACCAACCCAACTGGAACAACCCTATGGGAGGAAGCCCATGAGGATGACCAACCCCACACTGATCCTACAGACCCTACAGCCCCCCACCCACCCCATAGCCCCCCCGTACCCCCGGTGGTGCCGACGAAGGCCTCCAGCTCGCAGACCCTCTTCCCAAAGACAAAGTAGCTCTGGGCTCTGCCCCACACCAACCCCATGGGGTCAACCACCACCCATCCAACCCTATGGGGTCAACGCTATGGGCTCTACTACCACCCAACCAACCCTATGGGGTCAAGTACCACCCATCCAACCCTATGGGGTCAACGCTATGGGGTCTACTACCACTCAACCAACCCTATGGGGTCAACCACCACCCATCCAACCCTATGGGGTCAACCACTACCAACCCTATGGTGTCAACTCTATGGGGTCAACTCTATGGGGTCAATCAACTCTATGGGGTCAATCAACCACCACTCAACCATCTCTGTGAGGTCACCCACCCAATGGGAGGAAGCCCATGAGAATGACCAACCCCACGCTGACCCTACAGACCCTACAGCCCCCCACCCACCCCATAGCCCCCCCGTACCCCCGGTGGTGCCCACGAAGGCCTCCAGCTCGCAGACCCTCTTCCCAAACACAAAGTATCCGCGGGCGCTGGACACGAAGACGACGAAGACGCTGAGGATGCAGGAGATGAAGCCGCTGGCCGAGATGTTGACCAGGATGTAGTTGAGGGGTTGGCGCAGGCGCTTGTAGCGCACGGTGACCCACAGCACCACGGCGTTCAGGGGGGTCCCCACGGCGAAGACGGAGCCCATGAAGGCCGTCTGCAGGTAGAAGGCCCACGGCGGGGCGATGTGGTACTGAGGGCCGTCCCACGGACCCGGCACCGAGCCGTTGGCGAACAGGTAGAAGTCGTCGTCCGAGGACATGGCGGGGGGCCGAGGTGGGGGGCAGCGGTGGGGGAGGCTGGTGGGGGGAATGGGGGGGTGCTGGGGGGCGGTGGTGAATGGGGAGTGGTGAGGAGGGAGAATGGGGCGGTGATGGGGGGTGGTGATGGGGGGTGGTGATAGGGGAGAATGGGGTGGCAGTGGGGGGCGGTGGGGTGGGGTGGTGATATGGGGTGGTGGTATGGGGTGGTGATATGGGGTGGTGTTATGGGGTGGTGGTATGGGGTGGTGATATGGGGTGGTGGTATGGGGTGGTGATATGGGGTGGTGATATGGGGTGGTGATATGGGGTGGTGATATGGGGTGGCGATATGGGGTGGCTTTTAGGGAGAATGGGGTGGCGGTGGGGCGGTGGTGTGGGGTGGTGATATGGGGTGGTGGTATGGGGTGGTGATATGGGGTGGTGATATGGGGTGGCTTTTAGAGAGAATGGGGTGGTGATGGGGGGTGGTGATATGGGGTGGTGTTATGGGGTGGTGATGGGGGGTTGTGATACGGGGTGGCTTTTAGGGAGAATGGGGTGGCAGTGGGGGGCGGTGGGGTGGGGTGGTGATATGGGGTGGTGATGGGGGGTGGTGATGAGGGAAAATGGGGTGGTGATGGGGGGCAGAGATGGGGGCAGAATGGGGGGTAGAGATAGGGGTGGCTATTGAGGAGAATGGGGTGGCGGTGGGGGGCGGTGATATGGGGTTGTGATGGGGGGTTGTGATATGGGGTGGCTTTTAGGGAGAATGGGGTGGTGATGGGGGGCAGAGATGGGGGCAGAGATGGGGGGCAGAGATAGGGGTGGCTATTGGGGAGGATGGGGTGGCGGTGGGGGGCTGTGATATGGGGTGGCTTTTAGGGAGAATGGGGTGGTGGTGTGGGGTGGTGATGGGGGCAGAGATAGGGGTGGCTATTGGGGAGAATGGGGTGGCGATGGGGGGCTGGGATATGGGGTGGTGATGGAGAATGGGGTGGCGGTGGGGGGTGGTGGTATGGGGTGGTGATGGGGGGCAGAGATGGGGGTGGCTATTGGGGAGAATGGGGTTGTGATGGGGGGCTGGGATATGGGGTGGCTTTTAGGGAGAATGGGGTGGAGGTATGGGGTGGTGATGGGGGGCAGAGATGGGGGGTGGAGATGGGGAGAATGGGGTGGTGATGGGGGTAGGATATGGGGGGTGGTGATGGGGGGTGGCTATTGCAGAGAATGGGGTGGTGAAGGAGGGCAGAGATGGGGGGCTGTGGGGGAGAATGAGGGGGAGATTGGGGTCAGAGATGGGGGTCAGAGATGGGGGGCAGAGAGGGAGGGTAACGACTGGGGGCAATGGGGTGGCAGTGGGGGGCAGCGATGGGGTGGCTATTGGGGGAAATGGGGTGGCAATGGGGCAGCAATGGGGTGGCTGTTGGGGGAAATGGGGTGGCAATGGGGTGGCAAAGGGGGGCGGCAGTGGGGTGGCTGTTGGGGGCAATGGGGTGGCAATGGGGTGGCAGTGATGGGGTGGCTATTGGGGGCAATGGGGGGAGGCTGTAGGGCAGCAGTGAAGGGTGACAGTGGGGTGGCAATGGGGTGGCGGTCGGGGGGGGCAATGGGGGTGGCAATGGGGTGGCGGTGGGGGGGATGATGGGGTGGCAATGGGGGGGTGGTCGGGGGGTCAATGGGGTGGCAATGGGGGGGTGGTCGGGGGGGGCAATGGGGTGGCAATGAGGTGGAGGTCGGGGGGGGACAATGGGTGGCAATGGGGGGGTGGTCGGGGGGTCAATGGGGGGGCGGTCGGCGGGGGCAATGGGGTGGCAATGGGGTGGCGGTGGGGGGGATGATGGGGTGGCAATGGGGTGGCGGTCGGGGGGGGACAATGGGGTGGCAATGGGGTGGCGGTCGGGGGGGACAATGGGGTGGCAATGGGATGGAGGTAGGGGGGGACAATGGGGTGGCAATGGGGTGGCGGTCGGGGGGGGCAATGGGGTGGCAATGGGGTGGTGGTCGGGGGGTCAATGGGGTGGCAATGGGGGGGTGGTCGGGGGGGGCAATGGGGTGGCAATGGGGTGGTGGTCGGGGGGGGACAATGAGGTGGCAATGGGGTGGTGGTCGGGGGGGGCAATGGGGTGGCAATGGGGGGGCGGTCGGGGGGACAATGGGGTGGCAATGGGGTGGCGGTCGGGGGGGACAATGGGGTGGCGATGGGGCGGCGATGGGGCGGCGATGGGGCGGCGGGTGGTGATCGGGGGCAGCGGGGCGGCAGTGGGGGGCTGTGGGCGCTGTGGGGTCTCATATATGGGGCCAAGAGGATTAGGGGATGAGCGGGGATGAGCGCTTCAGCCGCGGTACACGGAGGGATTTGGGCGCTAAGCCCGGATTGGGGACTAAGAGCCCCTAAGGGGATCAGCGGGGGGGGGGGGGGGCGAAGGGAGGGGGGTTGGGGGCGGTTGTGGGGTCAATTGGGGCGGTTATGGGGTGGGGTGGTTGTGGGGTGGGAATGGGGTGGTTGTGGGGTAGGGTAGTTGTGGGGTGGTTTGGGGTGGTTATGGGATGGTTGTGGGGTGGTTATGGGGTGGTTGTGGGGTGGTTATGTGGTGGGGATGGGGTGGTTATGGGGTGGTTGTGGGGTGGTTATGTGGTGGGGATGGGGTGGTTATGGGGTGGTTGTGGGGTGGTTATGAGGTGGTTGTGGGGTGATTGTGGGGTGGTTATGGGGTGGTTGTAGGGTGGTTGTGGGGTGGTTGTGGGGTGGTTATGGGCTGATTATGGGGTGGTTATGGGGTGGTTATGGGGTGATTATGGGGGGGTTACGGGGTGGTTATGGGGTGGTTATGGGGTGGTTGTGGGGTGGTTATGGGGTGGTTGTGGGGTGGAAGTGGGGTGGTTGTGGGGTGGTTATGGGGTGGTTATGGGGTGGTTGTGGGGTGGTTATTGGGTGGTTATGGGGTGGTTGTGGGGTGGTTGTGGGGTAGGGTAGTTGTGGGGTGGTTTGGGGTGATTGTGGGGTGGTTGTGGGGTGGAAGTGGGGTGGTTATGGGGTGGTTATGGGGTGGTTGTGGGGTGGAAGTGGGGTGGTTATGGGATGGTTGTGGGGTGGTTATGGGGTGGTTGTGGGGTGGAAGTGGGGTGGTTGTGGGGTAGGGTAGTTGTGGGGTGGTTGTGGGGTGGTTATGGGGTGGTTGTGGGGTGGTTGTGGGGTGGTTATGTGGTGGGGATGGGGTGGTTATGGGGTGGTTGTAGGGTGGTTGTGGGGTGGTTATGGGGTGATTGTGGGGTGGTTATGGGGTGGTTGTAGGGTGGTTGTGGGGTGGTTGTGGGGTGATTGTGGGGTGGTTATGGGGTGGTTGTAGGGTGGTTGTGGGGTGGTTATGGGGTGGTTATGGGGTGGTTATGGGGTGGTTGTGGGGTGGTTATGGGGTGGTTATGGGGTGGTTGTGGGGTGATTGTGGGGTGGTTATGGGGTGGTTGTAGGGTGGTTGTGGGGTGGTTGTGGGGTGGTTATGGGGTGGTTATGGGGTGGTTATGGGGTGGTTGTGGGGTGGTTACGGGGTGGTCGTGGGGTGGTTGTGGGGTGGTTATGGGGTGGTCGTGGGGTGGTTGTGGGGCCACTTAGGGTGGTTAAGGGTCGATTGGTGGCTGTGGCGTCACTTGGGGTGGTTGTGGGATGGTTATGGGGCAGACAGAGGGCGGTTATGGGGCGGTTGTGGGACTGATACGGAGCAGATCTGAGGCAGTTATGGGGTGGTTATGGGGTGGTTATGGGGCAGTTATGGAGAGGTTGTGGGGTGCTTGTGTGGTGGTTATGGGGTGGTTGTGGGGTGGTTATGGGGTGGTTGTAGGGTGGTTGTGGGGTGGTTGTGGGACGGTTATGGGGTGGTTGTGGGGTGATTGTGGGGTGGTTATGGGGTGGATGTGGGGTGGTTATGGGGTGGTTATGGGGTGGTTGTGGGGTGGTTGTGGGGTGGTTATGGGGTGGATGTGGAGTGGTTGTGGGGTGGTTGTAGGGTGGTTATGGGGTGATTATGGGGTGGTTGTGGGGTGGTTATGGGGTGGTTGTGGGGTGGTTGTGGAGTGGTTATGGGGTGGTTATGGGGTGGTTGTGGGGTGGTTGTGGAGTGGTTATGGGGCAGATCTGGGGCAGTTATGGGGCGTCTGGGCGTTGGGGGCAGATGTGGGGGTTCCATTTGGGGTCTCACTTTGGGGTCAATTTGGGGACACTTTTGGGGTCCGCGTCCTTTTTGGGTCCCATTTCGGGGCCGCCCCTTTGTGACCCCTTCCCTACTAGACGCTATCAGTCGTCCGGCGGCTCGTTGGTCTAGGGGTATGATTCTCGCTTAGGGTGCGAGAGGTCCCGGGTTCAAATCCCGGACGAGCCCCAAAGCTTCCACTCATTTTTTCTTAGGGTTTTTTTTTTTGAAGGGGGGTGGAAGACCCCAAAATGCGACCCCAAATGTGACATCAGTGCGACCCCGTGTGACCCCAAGCGTGACCCTAAAGGGGTCCCCAATTGTGATCCCAAGTGACCCCAACTATGACCCCAAATGTGTTTTCAGGTGACTGCAAAGATAAGCCCAAGCGGGACCCCAAAGGGTGACCCCAAAAGGTGACCCCAAACTTGACCGCAAATGGGACCCCAAAGGTGAACCCAGCACTGACCCCATGTGTCACCCCACGTGTGACCCCAAAGGTGACCTCGAATGTGAACCCAAATGTCACCCCGAGTGGGACCCCAATAGTGATCCCAATGGTGACCCCAAACGTGACCCCAAATGGGAGCTCACATGGGACCCCAATGGTGACCCTAAAGGTGGCCCCAAATGGGAGCTCACATGGGACCCCAATGGTGAACCGAAATGTGACGCCGAGTGGGACCCCAAACGTGACCCCAAATATAAACCCAGCGGTAACCCCAAGTGTCACCCCGAGTGGGACCCCAATAGTGATCCCAATGGTGACCCCAAACGTGACCCCAAACGTGACCCCAAGTGTCACCCCGAGTGGGACCCCAATAGTGATCCCAAAGGAGACCCCAAAGGTGACCCCAAGTGGGACCCCAATAGTGATCCCAATGGTGACCCCAAAGGTGACCCCAAAGGTGACCCCAAATGGGAGCACAAATGGGACCCCAATGGTGACCCTAAAGGTGGCCCCAAATGGGGCCTCAAACGTGACCCCAAACGTGACCCCAAGTGTCACCCCGAGTGGGACCCCAATAGTGATCCCAAAGGAGACCCCAAACGTGACCCCAAATGGGAGCACAAATGGGACCCCAATGGTGACTCCAAAGGTGACCCCAAATGGGGCCTCAAACGTGACCCCAAAGTAGACCCCAAATGTGACCCCGAGTGAGACCCCAATAGTGATCCCAAAGGAGACCCCAAAGGTGACCCCAAGTGGGACCCCAATAGTGATCCCAATGGTGACCCGAAAAATGGTGATACTGGTGGTACTGGCTATAGTATCTGTACTGGTGTTACTGGTGCTAGTTATAGTGGTGATACTGGTGATACTGGTGTGATACTGGTGATACTGGTGTGACTGGTTATAGTATCTGTACTGGTGTTACTGGTGCTGGTTATAGTGGTGATACTGGTGATACTGGTGATACTGGTGTTACTGGTGATGATGCTGTTTTACTGGTGTTACTGGTGTTACTGGTGTTACTGGTGACAATGATGTTACTGGTGATACTGGTGTTACCGGTGTTACTGGTGTTACTGGTGCTGGTTATAGTGGTGTTACTGGTGTTACTGGTGATACTGGTGTGTTACTGGTGTTACTGGTGATACTGGTGCTACTGGTGTTACTGGTGTTACTGGTGTTACTGGTGTTACTGGTGGCACTGGTGCTACTGGTGTTACTGGTGGCACTGGTGGCACTGGTGATACTGGTGTTACTGGTGTTACTGGTGTTACTGGTGGCACTGGTGGCACTGGTGATACTGGTGTTACTGGTGTTACTGGTGGCACTGGTTGCACTGGTGCTACTGGTGATACTGGTGTTACTGGTGCTACTGGTGTTACTGGTGTTACTGGTGTTACTGGTGTTACTGGTGGCACTGGATGCACTGGTGGCACTGGATGCACTGGTGTTACTGGTGTTACTGGTGTTACTGGTGTTACTGGTGGCACTGGATGCACTGGTGTTACTGGTGTTACTGGTGTTACTGGTGGCACTGGTGGCACTGGTGATACTGGTGTTACTGGTGTTACTGGTGGCACTGGTTGCACTGGTGTTACTGGTGTTACTGGTGTTACTGGTGGCACTGGTGGCACTGGTGATACTGGTGTTACTGGTGTTACTGGTGGCACTGGTTGCACTGGTGTTACTGGTGTTACTGGTGTTACTGGTGGCACTGGTTGCACTGGTGTTACTGGTGTTACTGGTGTTACTGGTGTTACTGGTGGCACTGGTTGCACTGGTGCTACTGGTGTTACTGTTGTTACTGGTGTTACTGGTGTTACTGGTGTTACTGGTGGCACTGGTGTTACTGGTGTTAGTGGTGTTACTGGTGTTACTGGTGTTACTGGTGTTACTGGTGGCACTGGTTGCACTGGTGCTACTGGTGTTACTGTTGTTACTGGTGTTACTGGTGTTACTGGTGGCACTGGTGTTACTGGTGTTACTGGTGTTACTGGTGGCACTGGTTGCACTGGTGTTACTGGTGTTACTGGTGTTACTGGTGTTACTGGTGTTACTGGTGGCACTGGTGTTACTGGTGTTACTGGTGTTACTGGTGGCACTGGTTGCACTGGTGTTACTGGTGTTACTGGTGTTACTGGTGTTACTGGTGTTACTGGTGGCACTGGTGTTACTGGTGTTACTGGTGGCACTGGTGTTACTGGTTGCACTGGTGTTACTGGTGTTACTGGTGTTACTGGTGGCACTGGTGGCACTGGTGGCACTGGTGTTACTGGTGTTACTGGTGTTACTGGTGGCACTGGTTGCACTGGTGTTACTGGTGTTACTGGTGTTACTGGTGGCACTGGTGTTACTGGTGTTACTGGTGTTACTGGTTGCACTGGTGTTACTGGTGTTACTGGTGTTACTGGTGTTACTGGTGTTACTGGTGGCACTGGTGGCACTGGTGTTACTGGTGTTACTGGTGTTACTGGTGGCACTGGTGGCACTGGTGTTACTGGTGTTACTGGTGTTACTGGTGGCACTGGTGGCACTGGTGTTACTGGTGTTACTGGTGTTACTGGTGTTACTGGTGGCACTGGTTGCACTGGTGTTACTGGTGTTACTGGTGTTACTGGTGTTACTGGTGGCACTGGTTGCACTGGTGTTACTGGTGTTACTGGTGTTACTGGTGTTACTGGTGGCACTGGTTGCACTGGTGCTACTGGTGTTACTGGTGTTACTGGTGTTACTGGTGTTACTGGTGTTACTGGTGGCACTGGTTGCACTGGTGTTACTGGTGTTACTGGTGTTACTGGTGTTACTGGTGGCACTGGTGGCACTGGTTGCACTGGTGCTACTGGTGTTACTGGTGTTACTGGTGTTACTGGTGTTACTGGTGTTACTGGTGGCACTGGTGTTACTGGTGTTACTGGTGTTACTGGTGGCACTGGTTGCACTGGTGCCGTGGGTTCCGGTTCCGTCTCCCATTGCTGGTTACCGGGACAGCGGAGCCACCATGGAGGGGAGGGGTGAGCAGGAATGGGGAGGGGGACCCATAGGGGCTGGGACCCATAGGGATGGGACCCATAGGGACTGAGACCCCATAGGGACACAGACCCCATAGCGATAGACACCCCATAGGGACAGAGACCCCATAAGGATAGAGACCCCATAGGGACAGAGACCCCATAGGGACAGAGACCCCATAGGGACTGAGACCCCATAGGGACAGAGACCCCATAGGGACTGAGACCCCATAGGGACAGAGACCCCATAGGGACAGTGACCCCATAGGGAGGGGACCCTATAGGGACTGAGACCCCATAGGGACAGACACCCCATAAAGAGGGAACTCTATAGGGACAGAGACCCCATAAAGAGGGAACTCTATAGGGACAGAGACCCCATAGGGATGGGACCCTGTAGGGACTGAGACCCCATAGGGACAAACATCCCATAGGGACAGAGACCCCATAAGGATAGAGACCCCATAGTGATAGACACCCCATAGGGACAGAGACCCATAGGGGCTGGGACCCCATAGGGACTGAGACCCTATAGGGACAGAGACCCCATAGGGACAGAGACCCCATAGGGACTGAGACCCCATAGAGACAGAGACCCCATAGGGACTGAGACCCCATAGGGACAGAGACCCCATAGGGACTGAGACCCCATAGGGACAGAGACCCCATAGGGACAGTGACCCCATAGGGAGGGGACCCTATAGGGACTGAGACCCCATAGGGACAGAAACCCCATAGGGACAGAGGCCCCATCGGGACAGAGGCCCCATAGGGACAGAGACCCCGTAGGGACAGAGACCCCATAGGGACAGAGGCCCCATAGGGAGTGGACCCTATAGGGACTGAGACCCCATAGGGACAGACACCCCATAAAGAGGGAACTCTATAGGGACAGAGACCCCATAAAGAGGGAACTCTATAGGGACAGAGACCCCATAGGGATGGGACCCTGTAGGGACTGAGACCCCATAGGGACAAACATCCCATAGGGACAGAGACCCCATAAGGATAGAGACCCCATAGTGATAGACACCCCATAGGGACAGAGACCCATAGGGGCTGGGACCCCATAGGGACTGAGACCCTATAGGGACAGAGACCCCATAGGGACTGAGACCCCATAGCGATAAAGACCCCATAGGGACAGAGGCCCCATAGGGACTGAGACCCCATAGCGATAAAGACCCCATAGGGACAGAGACCCCATAAAGAGGGAACTCTATAGGGACAGAGACCCCATAGGGATGGGACCCTGTAGGGACTGAGACCCCATAGCGATAAAGACCCCATAGGGACAGGACCCTATAGGGACAGAGACCCCATAGGGACAGAAACCCCATAGCGATAGAGACCCCATAGGGACAGAGACCCCATAGGGACTGAGACCCCATAGGGACTGAGACCCCATAGGGACAGAAACCCCATAGCAATAGAGACCCCATAGGGACAGAGGCCCCATAGGGACAGAGGCCCCATAGGGACTGAGACCCCATAGGGACAGAGACCCCATAGGGACAGAGGCCCCATAGGGACAGAGACCCCATAGGGACTGA